ATCCTCTAAATATATTTTTACCAAATGTAAACTGAATACTAAATATACACTGAATTTAGATGCATTGAACTCTTTTGTTCTATTGAATATATTGCAAAAAAAATTGTAAATTATCGAAGGTTTGTAAAATTAACCGGGCCATTAAATGATAAAATATTGGCGATTTGTTTTTTTTTTCCCCAACAGGATGAATTGTAGTTTTTCAAACTATATTCAACCTAATATTAAGTAAATATATTTAATTATTATTTTTTTAAATTTGGGGTTTTGTAAACTTTTTAACTTTTATATTTTTACCTTACAATTATCTGGTTCTGTAATGATATTAATAACACGAAAGCAATTATGTAAAAGCAGTAGAGAATCTCTCAATACTTTCTCTTCGCATGACTCTCTCCAATGCGTCCCCCTTCATTCGTTCATTTAATTGGCAATTTTGATTTGATGTGAAAAATTTATGATCGCATCATTAAGCCAAATATATTATTCATCTAACTGCTATAAAAAAATATATATTATGATCTCGTTTTTAAGAAAATTCTAATGATGATAATGAATGTGCAACCAACAAATCAAATAGAAAATAGACAATTAAGTTGTGAATATTATGTATCAAGGAATATATGAAAATTAAATATTATGAGGATTTTTTCCAAAACATTGTATTATACTAAATTCAAAGTTGACTACCAAGGAGCATAACACGACTAGTAAAGAATTATGCTAACTTAATCATTAGTTTTGAATTCAAATCTTAAATGTGTAACTATATAAATATTTCTATAAATATGAAAGTTTAAAATATAAATATTAAAATATTAAATTAGATATAAATAAAGTAACTTTAATACTAAATATGAAGTTTTTTCCTTTGAAACCTATTAATATAAAATGAAATTCGGGTAACCTATTTGTGGTTAATTTTCTTACTTGAAACTCATAGGTAATTTCCCAAAAAATAGTTCTTCGACAATTAAAAAAAATGAGTTGATTATCATTTACCATTATTGTTATTTTTTTTATTTTTTATACATGGCTTGTTTCTCAATCTTTTAGTGGCTACAGAAAACAGTGCATGCATATATAAATTATGTATTATACATGCTCTATCTGCTTAAAAAATATAAGACATCTTTAATTAAATCTTACCCTCTAATAAAGTAATTATCTACCTTCAAATTAACTCTATCTTTTTATATTTACCTTTATTAAACATCCTATAAAAAAATATAAGTTATTTATTAATAGGAACACTTTGAAAAAAGACAATGATTACACCTCGAAAGACTTAAAATATTTTATATTTTTTTTATCTAACTTTTTAAAAATATTTTATATTTTTTAATGGAGGGATTATATCAATAATAGTTTATGCTAGTTAGAAAAGGTCTTAAAATCTTGTTTGATTCTACCTAAAATGTGTTTTCAAACATTTGTTTTCATGTAACATAAAAAGATTGCATTCACCATTTGTCTATTTAACAAGTCAGAGAACATGCATCTCAATCCTCACTTGTTCGTTGTACAAACCAATGAACATACATCCAAAACATAATCAATGTGCATTCTTGTGGGGATCAACCACCATTTGTCATTTAAATTACATGTTGAATGAAAAAGAATACATTTTATAAACATACATATTCATGAACCATTGAATAATGAAGAATCAACAAAACCTTTGAAGTTGTTAAATTGTTCAAGAGTTGCCATGCATAGATGCCTAAGCCTATGGAATAAAATCCTAGTTGAGTCTTTACCAAAATGCAATTGAACAGCTCATGTAGGTTGATGGCTTTCATACCAAGTCATAATTTTTTGATCACATTTGAAAAATAATTAATCACTTTTGAGGCTCGATCGAATTAAATTATAAAATTAATCAATTCTATAATGTGATAAAAAGTTTGAAAAGGAGACTTAAGTTGATTTACTTGTATAATCAAATGCCAAATACTTGAGGTTTTTTTCCCTCTTAATAAAAAAAGTCAAGTATTTAAAATTTGATTGATACAAGTAAATTGACAAAAGTTTTGTCCCTTCAAACAAACACACCCCTACACACCCTATATTTTACATCTCGTATGTATTTTGTTTTTTATTTTTTAAATGATAACTTTTTTGCTATCTTTATCAATTTCATTTTCATTTCTTATCATTACTCTCTTTAATGCTCCTTAATGTTATTTTTTTTGTTGTTTCTAGGTTGGAAAACATTTTATTTTATATAATTTAAGTTACTTTTCATTGAATTTTACATTATCTTTATTTTTATTTAAAACTTTAATTAATTATACATAACTAAAAATATACTTATCTTATCACAACTGGAGACCACAATATATCACTACATGGAATACTGCCTTCTTTCAATTCAGGGTTGGTCCAGTTTTTACTAGTTTGATTTTAACAACTAACAAGTAAAATATAAATTTAAAGATTTTAAATATATGGTCTAGGAGAATTGTGTAGAATTAAAATATATCTTTTTTCAATTCAACTAAATTTATTTGGAATGGTTTATCTTCTTCATGATAAGTGAATTTTAATATGATAATTAAATTAATAATAATTTATTATATTTTTTGACCAAAATAATAATTTATTATAGAAAAATAATATATATAAAAGATATACATGTGTTGATTTAATTGAAAACAAATACATTAAATATATAAAGCTGAATATATAAGGTTTTCCTTTTATATTATACTCTCTCTGTTAAAAATATAAATTATTTTTAATCGAATCTCATTCTTCAATAAATTACTTACTCTGGTTAAAAATTATAAAGCATTTTTAACCGAATCTTACCTCTAATAAAGTAATTACCTATTTTCTAATTAACTCTATCTTTTTATATTTATTTTTATTAAACATTTTATAATAAATACAAAATCATTATCAATAGGGGCACTTTTAAAAAAACTAATAATTACACCTTGAAAGACTAAAAATATCTTACATTTTTTAAAATTTAACTTCTCAAAAAATATTTTACATTTTTGAACAAAGAGAGTAATTGTTAAAATCATATGTATTTATTTACTTTTATTTAATATGATATTTTATTTTAAAATAAATAAAAAATGAGTTACTAATGATATTTTTAAAAATAAAGATTAATTAAGCTTTTAAATATTAAAAATATCTTATATTTTTTAACATCTAAATCTCAGAACTTTATGCATGCCAAATCCTTCCTAACCAGACTAGTTATCAAATATTTTTATACAATATTGCTAAATGCTAATTATACATTTATACATTTAATTGTATTGAATTGAATTAAGTTAGGGCCAGTTTGTTTTAGTTTATTTTATACAAAAAGTCACTTATTTTTTTTAAAATTATTTTATAAGCTTTTATAATATCTGTTTAAACTTTTAAAAATAATTAAAATTTTAAAAAATATATTTTTAATTTTTTAAAAAATTACTTTGAGTATCTTTTAAAAATAATTTAATACGATTTATAAAAGAAATTGTTTTAAAGAAACAGTATATATTAACATATCATGAAATTTTAAATTTTAAAATAATTAAAAAAGATATCATAAAATTAATAATAATTAACTGATCATTACTTGTTATTATAACTAAACATATCTTATTATTTTTACAAAATAAATTTATTTTTATACAATTTTTAAACTACTTAAAATTACTTATTACTCCTAAAGTTTGAAGGCACTGTTTAGTGTAAATATTAATTAACACATGCCCATTTTAATTGGTTCGTGACAATCACTCTCTCTGGGATTCGCCACGCTAGTGTCATTCCTCGTGCAAAGTCATCTTCCTCTCTGCTCCTCGTCCTGCTAGAGTTTCTCGGCTGTTCTCAGTCTCGTCGTCTTGTTTCCTAGTTTCCTCATTCATCTTCTTCTGATTCAGCAATGGCTCAAGCTGTTGAAGAATGGTATAAGCAGATGCCCATCATTACGCGCTCCTATGTCACAGCTGCAATTGTTACCACCATCGGCTGTTCCCTTGATGTATACTCTCTTCTCTCCCTTTTTATTGATTTAAATTTGCTTTTTTTGTTTTACTTTATGATTTTGTTAGTTCTTCTCAAACACTGGCGATAAATCTTTTTAACTCAAAACTATCCAAAGATTATTTCAGCTGGTATGGGTTATCTTTGCAACTTAGGTTCAGTTTGTGGGATTGAAATATTTGGAATATCAGTTCAAGAAGGGAGTGCAACGGACAGTCGGTGGGATAATCTTGATCGTGTAAAAGAGTGAAAAGATTTATTGGGTTATTGTAGTTTTCGTCTTTAATCATGGTGCTTCTCTGGCTCTCTTGAGAAAGAAACGTGTTACGATTGGGTTGATTTCAGTTCCTTTTGGTTTCGCTAATATCTGGGGAAATTTTGTTCCCCTTTTTTAATGGTTGACATTGGTTGTTCAAACTTATCGTTTCCAACTTTATTCAAGGGACTATTTCGTTGAGTAATGATTCTTGTTATGGCTTTGCAGATAATTTCTCCGTATCATTTGTACTTGAACCCTAAACTGGTGGTCAAGCATTATCAATTCTGGCGTCTCATCACCAATTTCTTCTACTTCCGTAGAATGGGTAATGCCTTCAATTCCCCTTGACAAAATTGTTGATTGACATTAGTTCACTGCTCTGAACCCTCAACTGTTAGTTCATAGCGACTTCCTTTACTGCTCTGATTTGGCAGCGTTTTAATGTTCTTCTATCAAAATCTTGTACGTACAATTGAAGACTCCTGGTGCTGCCACATGCGTAGATTGTAATAATGGATAGCTCTACGAGGGCTCCTTAATGCTATATATGACAAAGCTTTTGCTACATTTAAAATATTGATTCTGAAAGACAACAACAAAACAATATTTTAAAAACAAGTACAATTAGGAAAAATTGTAATCACACGTATAGTTGATTTTATTGTTACAAACTACAATATAATTATGAGAAGATGAATGGCGTAAGAGAGAGGGTGAAGACAGACAGGAGAATCTGAAGAGAAGTAGCAACTGGCAACCACAGGGTTTCCAGATGTCCTTCATTGAAGCAGAGTGCTGATTACTGTCTCTGAACAGAATTGAAGGCTGTGCAGTTGCAATTTGCCTGCAGAGTTATCAGATTTTGAAATGCCATTCCATTTTCCATATTTTGCAACTGTAGATAGCAGTTTTCACAGAGGTTGCTTTAATGCATTTGGTGCTTACTGTGCCACCAAAGTTGCTATGCTACACATGTACTGATAACTATTTCTAAGCACTATGTTTCACTGTTAGTAACAATCACCACACCTGTGGAACTCATCTTTCTTTACACCTTGTGAGGCTCATCGACTTACTTTCTTTACACCTTTTTTGAGCTTGCTATGCTACACCTTTGTGATCAATGATTATACATCAGTTCTGGTTAGGGAGGGTATTTAGGAAAGTTGTGGTCATCTAAACATCATGAATGTAATTATTTTGCCATTGTTGACTAAAATAATAAAATAAAATTTAATATTTGAGTTGGGAAATGGTGCATGAAAGAAATTGTCCATACCTTGGTCCTTAACGTAAGTATGGTCGGTTTATAGGTATGAATGAATCAAATTTGGCACTTAACATAGTGTGTGAGCCGTATTTATTTTGTGTGACTATGATACAGAATTACCACGGGAGGCACCTGTGAACCACGAGAGGCACCTGTGAGGAGAGTAGAATAGATGACTTTGAGCCATATCAAGTAGGGTAGAAAAAGGTTAAAGAGAACACTTTTGGAAGTTGTTGAGTAAGACTTTTTAGTTAACAATATTTCTAAAAGCTTAATAAATGATAGAGTATAATAGCGTCATATAATTCATGTAGCTGACCCCACCTAGTGGGATAAGGCTTGTTGTTGTTGTTAAGTGTGAGATAGAATTGCGATTCTGCATGAAAGAGAAAATAGAGAAGAAGAGGAGAGATTGGAGAGAAAAACAGAGAAGAGAGAAGAATAGAGAGATTGAGAGAAAGAGAAATAGAGTGACAAGACGATTCATTGAATAATATGCAAATTGTATTGATGACTTAGCATAGGATCTACAATGAGATCACAACTATTTATAGGCTTCTAATATGGCTCTCTCTCTCTCTCTCTTAACTAACCTAATGGCTAGTTCCTAACAACTAACCAAGTCTCAATTACAATTACATAACGGAGTGGGGAGTGAATTATTTTTTGGTCATAATATAAGAGGGTTGGCCTTGGATTTTACTTTCAAGAAGTTAACCTACTTGATTAGGGTGATGACCTTTCATAGTCTTGTTAGAAGGCAGAAACTGAGGAATGATTTTATGGCATTTCTAACTGTCTATTGGACTTAGTCCTTATTTTGGTTTTATCTCACATGTCCATGTAACACCTTTCAGGCATGATATTCTTTCTTAAAATCATTGACAAAAGCTTGAACTGATGGTCAAAGTAATGTATATATTAGTCACGAATCTCTTAATTTGAATGCATGTATAGCATGGTTCTCACAGTCCTCTCATTGTCTTTTCCTAATGGTGTTTTCTATCCACGGGCTGGTTTGTTAGCTGCTTAGATGTATAGATAGCTTGCCTGCACTTAAAAATTGAGACATGTTCCCTTTACTGATGTGTTCCTTTATTTGTTTGTTTATTCATGTTAGTTGATATCTAGTTTGAAGTTTGTGAAATTACTCTCTAACATAACTTTTGACATGGTATTGGCAGACTTGGATTTTTTGTTTCATATGTTCTTTCTTGCTCGGTACTGCAAACTTCTAGAGGAGAATTCCTTCAGGGGGAGGACAGCTGATTTCTTTTACATGCTCTTATTTGGGGCTACTTTATTGACTGGGATTGTTTTTGTTGGAGGGATGATACCATACATCTCAGAGTCATTTGCAAAAATTATGTTCCTTAGCAATTCATTAACATTCATGATGGTCAGTTATGTTTCCATTGATGTTTTGTTGTTAAAACTTCATGTTTGAATTTAAATTGTCTCAGTGTTATAAAAAGACTTGACATTTTGTATTGTCCAGGTTTATGTATGGAGCAAACAAAATCCCTTCATCCACATGAGCTTTCTTGGCCTTTTTACATTCACAGCAGCTTACCTTCCTTGGGTGAGTAAGAGCTTGTGTTATACCTTAGGCTCTTCTCAATTTTGAGCAGGGAAATAACGGTCATTTTGGGCAAATTTAGACTGGTCAAGATGATATAGATGTTTAGATCTATTGAGAAATAACTCAGAAAAATCCCATGCAAGAATGCACAGGATTGAAGAGTATTTTAGAATTTGTATTTATACTGTGAATGAATTGTAGAATGGATTTGGTTTTTGTATATAACAAGACCCACTTGCGCAGTTTTATACTGCACAGTATGTAACCACTTAAAAAGAAATGCTCATGAATTGAGGCATATAGTTATTTTACAGTAGTTTTGATTGTAATATTATATATAAATGATGATTTTTAATCTGAATTTGAGGGGGAAAATTTAAACCTTTTAGATAAAATGGATGACTGAAATTCCCTTCAAATGATTTTCAAAAGACCATATATAGAGAGAATCCGGACTTCCAGATTATATGATTGAAAAGTAACCCTTAAACTGAGTTTATGCTTTGTACTTGGTATTGATTTTCTTCATTTCTTGTTTAATTTGATCTTTTTTATTGTATGAATGTAGGTTCTCTTGGGATTCTCTGTCCTTGTGGGTGCAAGTGCTTGGGTGGATCTTCTGGTATGTGTCTTTGCTCAAGTAACACATTATTTTGGTATTGCATCAATCATTTTTTTATGTGCTGGATGGCTTTTGTTAAAGTTGAAAACATGCTTCAGGGAATGATTGCTGGTCATGCATACTATTTTCTTGAAGATGTCTATCCTCGGATGACCGGCCGGCGGCCCCTAAAAACTCCGTCATTCATCAAAGCACTATTTGCAGATGAGCCTGTTGTCATGGCCCGGCCAGGAAATATTAGATTTGCTCCGCCACAAGCGGAAGCCCCTCACCGTGATTGATATGGATATTTGCAGATGAAGCCACACACTTGAGGGGTTTGAGAAACCCCATTTTCTGGGGATCTAACCTTCCTGTGCCTGTGCATTGTGTATAAAATATCACATAGATGTCTATTAGAACAGTTACTAGCCTAAATGTGATGAGTTTTCTTCTCCAACCTTTTTAGAATTTAGAAAGAAGTGGTACAAGTCTTGTGGTTTTTTGGGGTGTTCTTTTTACCAGGTTTATTTTCTAACTTTCTCTCCTATGCTTAAGGTTATAGTTGGGGCCAAACTTTTTTTAAAAAAAAAAAAAAGTTTGTCATGAAGTTTATTTATGAAATTACTTCACTGTTGTATTTGACTTGCTAAAAGTGTCACGGCATGATAATTTGAAAAACATTATGACTTGGTTTTGTTCTTATTTTTTGCTTTCAAAAACCTATTTTGTAAGCTAATTTTTAAAAATTGTTTTTCAAAATAAAATGAAATGAAAATTCTCTTGATTATGTTGATTTGAAAATAATTTTAAAGCTACAAAAAGTCAATAGTGGTAGTGGCCAGTGATTAACGATTATGGTATATGAGAATGGTTGATCATAACCTTTTTTTTTTTTTTTTTGCCAAATGATTGATCATAGCTGAAGATAATTAAAAGTCAAATGTAGCGTGTTTCCAAAATAAAAAACAAAAACAACTACAAGTCATTTTCCTTTTTTGTTCTTAAAAAATAAAAACAGTTTGGAAAACATTTAAAGTCAAAACACTTATCTAAATGATTTTTCTTTTGTTTTTAAAAACAGAAAATAGTTTTTTAAAACAGAAAACAAATCCTAATATCTTAGTCCATTGCAGTGTTAGGAAATTGTTGATATGGCAAACAAAATGTCAACATGGAAGGCACATAGGCCTTGACATGTTGAGATTGAGACATACTTATGAACCTCCTAATATATATATATACACACATATATAAATATTTACCAAGTGTATGTTTGGTTTTTAATTTATTAAAAAATTAATTGATAATTATTGTTTATTATAATGAAATTTATGTTTAATTATATTTTTAAAAAAATCATTTTAGAAAGTTATTTTAAAATTCTCGTGATGAACTTTACTATTAAAAATAATTGAAAGCTGTTTAAAAGCTAAGGGTAATTATAATTACAACAAATTTCAAGAGAACACAACAAAATTGCAGACAAGCTGGCAAAGGAAGGTCTGAATACCTCTTCTATGACACGGCTCGACCCTCCTTGAATCCAGCCGTCCATTATTCAACTTTCTCCTGGCCTTAGCCCATCTCTTGTATAATTTTTTTTTTTAAATACTCAGATTAATTTTTTTTTGGCATAATAACTCGAATCAATTTTTGGCGAATTGACTTTTAGAAACATTTCAAATCGACTTGTAGAAAGTAACCCAAATCGACTCGTAGAAAGTAACCCAAATCGACTCCCAAGAGGCTTGGTCAAAGCATAATTGGCAACGGCGTAGCATTCACACATCGATTAGTCTCATTGTAGTTATGGCCGCAGGGGGCATGAGAGCTATTGGCAGTCAGGATTCTGTTTAGACGACCGTTACCTGATCTTTTTTTTTTTATAAGGGAAAATTTCAGTCTAAACCCCTTACCAAACATGATAAAAATACGATAATATTATTCAAGTAACTCAACTTTTGATCTATATACTTTTTGGAGTCATCGTTCCAAAAAATGTTTAGTAGGTACAAGCCACCAAACATCAAAATAAGTATACATTATTACAGCATATAAATTAGGGCTACAATTCAACTATAAAAGGGTTGAGATTGAAAAGTAAGCAAAGTAAAAAGTATACACAAATTTTGAGCGACCATAAATGTAGAACACCTACAAAGATAAAATTGAAAATTTGAGGGGTTATAGTACCCCCCCCTTCCTCTACCTATGATCTAAAACTGCATGAAATTTTCTATTTCCTAAACCCTCTCAACAAACCCCTCTTTCCTCAAATTTAAAAAGGGGAAAAACGATTAATAACTGCTCGCGCCTAGAAAAATAAATCCAAATTATCAGTCTCAAGAAGTAGCTTCTGTGTTTCCCAGGGGTTGACATATCTGGTGGACTATTGCTTCTCTGAATCTGCCGAACTTCAATAGCATCCAACTAGAGAACCAGCACAATCATGGCCAATGGCAAAGACTAAACAAAAATCCCAAAAGCACTGTTGTTACTGGACAAGATGATACCGAACTGATATCCTCTTTGGGGGTAATGTGCGCAGGATGAAAAGGACTAAAGCTGAAGGCATGATCTCAACTAGCTGTTTGAGAAGAAATATTCCCAGATGTCAATATAATTAAACCAAGATATAGAGGCAATTGACAGAGCAAAATTCTGCAGGTTACCATGTAGTAAATCAAGTTCAAAATTGGGTGATTCGGAACATCAAGTGATGCTTTTGAATCAAATGTACCAAGAAATATCTGCAAGAGTATTAAAGAAAAATTGATTAAGAAATATACTATAGGTCTATAATGCATGAAGTACAATAGCATACTTATTGATACTGTCAATTAACTTTAATCCTGCAGCTCTAGTTTCCATGACAGAGACTTCAAGCCTTAACCCTCCTTTTTCCCTATATTCCGTCTCCATCTAGCACTCTTTGCATTTGATCCCACCAATCTTGCCGATCAACAACGGTTCTGTTGGGTTCTTCCCCTTTTCAATAAACTCTAAACCCATTACCAAGATTTATTACCAGTGACTAGCAGTCATGATAAAACTAAGTGAAACAATATGAGGCAGGATTTTCCCATTAATGCAGCGCCACAATGGCTTCTTATGAACAAAATCCATTACATTCTTATTTTCAACATTAACTGCTAGACATCATATAATCCATTCGGTTTCTATTATAAGGCATATCTAATCACCTCACCAGAATTAATGAAAGGTGGTTAAGTCATTAATCTTGTCTGAAAAAAGAATAAGCTTTTAATTTTACTCATATTTAAATGAAAATATTCAAATTTGCATTACATTCTCTCTTATAATTAATAAGTTTAGATAGAGATAATATTGGAAAAACATAATTAATAACCCCCACAGAGTGCCTCATATTAAAGACCAAATAATCTTTCTAAAAAGCGTCTTATAATAAGGACTAAAGAGCAAGATTTTAAAAATCGGACTAACCACTAGTTCACGATTCATTTGTTGAACCGTAGTTGAACTGGTTGACATTAAATTACTATAATTTTAATTTATATATCACAATTAAATAAGAAATATGTGCAAATATTTATATTTTCAAAAAATATTAATTAATGTTTGGTAAAATGATATATTGTTGATGAATACATGATTAAATATTAATTATTCTTTCTTGTTCTTTGTTTTAATTAATTTTTTTTCAAAATTTTAATTCATTCATATCAATTTTTAAGGAAACCGGTCCGGTTTTTTCCGTTTTTGACCTATTTTTCCAGTCATTGACTAGTTTCCTTGTGGCCGGTTTTGAAAGGTTAACCGAATCGGATCAATAGCCGGTCTCTTGGTTCAACCAGTTGAACCAGCCAGTTCGGTCCAGTTTTTAAAACACTAAGAGAGAGTATACTTTTCAATTTCACTTGTTCTTGTGCATAAATTATGAAGGGACACACAATATGCTCATACATAGAACACAAAAACAGTCATGGTTTAAATTAAAATACTTTCATTTAGAATATATTAAATATTCACTATGCATACAAGCTATCATGCTAAATGTTGGTAGAAATGTTCGTGTTTCTAGCTTTGCTTTATTTGAGCATCCCAACTACTTGTAGCAAGAATAAGGGAGAAGATTACCAAAGCACAGATGGTGTAGTTCAAGAAGAAAACAATAAGAAATCTACACACGCGACGAATTAACATCTAAATGCTTAAGAAAAATTTCCATTAACATGATAATGATAATAACAATAATAAATAGTCAGTGGTTACCAAAAAGCATCGGATCAGAAAGCAGGTGAAACATATGGCTGTGACAGATCCAACCTGTAATACACAGCTTATGTTCTGTCAATACAACTAATAAATGATGAGACTGAATAAATGGGAAGCTTTTAACAGGTTCTTCTTAGTTCACAACTTCTTATTAATTTTTTTTTCTAAAGTAAATCTTCGTTCATAACTTCATGGTGCAATCCAAGATCCGTGAAGTTTTAACTTACTTTGTTGAAACGTAATGTAGCACAAATGATGCATGACAATGCTAACATAAAATCCATTCATTTTCATATCTTACTCCAATGTTCTGACAAAGAATAAATATGAATTTTTAAAGGAAAAGCTAGAGCTATTCTAATCTAGTTGATGGTTGAAGAGGTAATATGATGACAAATATGATTTTGTACTTTGCACATTTTGAAGCCAGCAAAAATTTCTGGCCCAAAAGAAAAAAGGAAAAAAAAAACGCCAGCAAAGAAATTTATCATGATCTCGACAAATTTCAGTTGTCAAACCTTTAACCTTGTACTTCCAAGTACTTGTACAACAATAAAAGATTTCTATTCTTTCCATTAATGGTAGAGATCAATAAAGAAGAATACTGGCAAAACTTAACATTGTATATTTTTGACATGCACATAACACCGTGCGAAGAAACTATGCCACATACAATGACCTTTAGCACACAACGAAATTCACAAGAAAAAGATTACATGAAAAATCATTTTTGCAGAGCAATTTCTATCAAATAGACCAACTGAGATGTAAATGCACATACCTCATGAAGCTTCCTCCTTCTCCCTCTAGATTCAATGGGGAAGTGCCTCAGCATGAGAAACAATCTATATATGTTCGATGCATATCAGACAAAATTGAAAAGCTGACCACAATAAGCATAATAACTAGCAAAGAAACTGTTACCAAGCTAATAAATCATAGCAATTCAAATAAAATGCATAAGCCTCACCTTCCTCCACAAAGCAAGAAGCCCAATGCAGCCATTAATGACACAACTGAATAAGAGAACGAATTTTCTTAAGAGATGTCTTTACGTAAGGCAACGCTTCATTTTAAAGTAGCAAAACTCAATCTCAAGCGTACAAAATACAAATAGGTGTAAAACATAAAGCACCTTATAACTGCTATTGAAAGAAGAAAAACTAACCAGCAAAAAATATATTTCCGATGTACTGCACAGCACTAATGTAATCTATCCAAAGATAAATCCAAATGCAAATCTGAAACCAAAGCGACACTTTAGTAAAATGGTTATATATGGACAGCATGATAAACAGCAGGCAAGCTCTTGTCATCTCTAGAAGCCATTGAGATTTATGCTGAATTTGACATCATCTTGCAGAAATGAAAAATAGATAAACCATAAATACCACTCAAAATAAAACTAAATTGCATATCTTGTATGTCACTGAAAGCCAACAAGCGATGGTTGAGCTTCACAGTCAAGAAGCACAAATTTCCTAGGAATTCATTGGTAAAGAAATTTTCAGATGCCAGAAAAACATCTTAAGACTGAATTTTCCCCTTAATATTATCTGCAACTTATTCACTCAAGCAAAGGTGATTGGAGAGTTGGAGGCAAGATCTGCTGTCAATAGTATTATAGCTTATAGGATAAGGTGTTTCTACACAGTGATGCTGTCCAACACCACATTAAAAAAATTTGATAATAAAGAGCATTTTTCCTTGAATAATAGAATATTCAGAAATGCAACATTTTAAGAATCCCTCAGAGTGCAAACCCAGAATATGATATGAACAAAAAGGAATAAGATGGAAACCAATTGAAAAGTGGATTAAGATGATTGTAAGAGAATTAAACAACTGGATACAGTTCTAATCAGCAAACAGAAAATGCTCTTACAGCATGATACAGGATAGATACCTCAATAAAATACACTGCACTGTTGATAGAAGCATAAACTATCCTGAGTTTATCAATTGGTAAATTCCTTGCCTGCTCAGTTTTGGAAAAAGTTAGAAATACTAAGACTAAACAAATGAAAAAAGACAAGGAATTTCCTTCCTCATATGGATAATTGCTTTTGAGAGTTGATTTTATTTAATTCGCTAAAGTAAGATCCTTGGTTGTCACAATTAAAATCAACAATTTTAAAGATGATAAGAAAGAACAAACACTTGCCTGACGATAAATTTCTGCCCAGAAAAGAACTAGAAGTGTATATGCTGAGAAAAAGAGTAGTCCTGGAAGATCCAATAGAACCAAAACTAGTACCTAAGCCAATATACACTCTGTATCAATATAAAAAAACTAAAAAACCTGTTGATCTTAGTAAAAAAAAAAAATTCCCTCTTCAACTTTGCAATTATAAAGAGCATAGGTGCAGTACTAACCTTTGGGTGTAAGATAAAAACTTGGTGGTGAAATCCAAATATCACTGCACGCACTGCAAAATGGAAATGCAAAAAGAGTAAGACGCCCAAAATTGCACACAACAATGAAAATATAGAAAGCATCAAGCCTCTCAACGTCACCTCCATTGACAATGAAGTTCATCAAATGAAAAACTTTTTGTGTTGTCCAACCATATTCAGGAACTCTTAATTCAATTCTTATCAATTGAATCTGCAGTATTTTGGAACCAGGAAGACAACATCAGGACGAGGATTCTTTTGGGACATAAAACACAATAGGAACAAAACAAATAGTGGGAAATAAACAACCGCTTGAAGTCCAGCACAGGGCGTTTGGCGCGATCAATGGGACAACATTTCCTTTGCATTGCCAAACAAAAAAAGAATATAATATCTTTTAGATATACACAATATCGTTACTTTACAGTAATTATCCTTGCATCGTCATCATTATTTTCTTTAATTGTACAAAAGACATTTCCCAAGAACGAAATCACTTTCAGTCAATTCCACTTTACTATCAAACCCTCCAAACGCACAAATTAAAAATAATTATTTAAAATTAGAAATTGTCGCGCTAAAGAAGTACTAGACAAGGCATCAAAAAGAAATTTTTGGACAAGGAAAAAAAAATTATCATCACCCATGAATTTCGTTTCGTAAATTAACCAAGAGATGAGCGCACCGAATAGCCACAAAGCTTTAATAATTAATTAAAATATAGCTCGCTTTTTTATGGCAAAAACAGTATTTTTCGGCCAATGTCAAAAACAGAGGTATGCTTACGAAGGTTGAACAGAATGTATAATGCTATATTTGTTAAAGGGCAATCACTCACGAAAAAGGTTTCCCAGCTTGAATTTGCTGGGAAAAAGAATCGAAACTCCAAGCTATAAAATAAATTGATTCAGAAAGCGCAATCGAAAATCAGAATGTGGACACAAAATCATTTTTCTGAAAGAGCTTAAGCAATTAATCACATAAGAATCACACGAGAAAGAAGATAAGCGGAAACTGCAGTGACAGTAGATCAGCAGTATAGGAAAGGAGCGGGGGGTGACCAGAGCAGCGGTGGAGACGAGTGCATAGCAACCGCAGAGAGAGAAGTAGACGGCGTTCTGCCAAACAGTGTTGTTGTTGATATCGTCCCACCAATTGGAGACGAGAAGAGGAGGAATCTGCTCGACGAACGTCGAGCTCAGAGGCAAATTCCTCATGCGAAGAAGCCAATTCGATTCAGGAACACGAGCAAGCCAAGTAGTAATTCACTCACACAGTCCCACTCTCAGTCCCTGAAGAATCACTAGGGATAGTGATCCTCAACAAACTTTTTGACCTGATTCTCCCACGGCTCTAACACAAAGGTTAGATCACATTCATTTCTTTCTTTTATCTTTTCAGAAAGTTTGCAGACAGCTTCTAATCAGTCTTAAATACACACACACACTTGTATTTTTTTTTTTTTTCATATTTTCAAAATTATTCTTTTTTTTTTTAATGAGCAAAATTTAGGTGCATTGGTTTTGAGTCACCTCAGCAGGCAAATATATTCGGTTTAATTAACCTGTTTTAACTTAGACCGGTTTTCTCGTAATTTTTTTATATTAATATATCAATAATCAATAATTAATCAATAATAGATATATAATATAAAATCCATATGATGGACCGTCCTACTTAAAAGTCATGAATATTTTATATTTTATCAAATTTAATGTGAGAGATGGTTACGTGTGTAGGATATTTTATACTCTCTTCAAATTATAAGATACTTTAAATAAAATTTTATATATTAATAAACTTTATTAAACACACTTAATAACTTTTTTTAAAATATAAATATAAATTTTAAAAAATATCCTCATTTAATATATTAAAAAGAGAGAGAGCTGGATAGAAATTAAATAGAGAGAAAAATGTAAATATTAAAATAAGTTTATTTAATAAAACATTAATCTTCTCAAAGTGTTTAATATTTTGAGACATCAAATGTTTTTCAAAAGAATCTTATAATTTTGAATGAGGTATTATTTTGTCAAATTTAATGTAACACATAATTACATGCATGGGATATTTTGTATAAGAAGTTGATGATTGATTATGATGATTAATATAGTTTAAAATTTATAACAAATTGTATTGTTTGTAAATTATAAATAATATAATTTTATTTTTCTATGTAATATATAATTGAATGTTTGAGTGGTTTATATAAAAATATAAAAAATAAATTTAACCAAAGAAAGCTTGATTTAATTCATTTTCTGTTGTTACTTAGGAGTTTGAGTTTCAGTAGGTGTTGTATAATGTATAATGGTTGCGCAGTGATTATCTCTATTCGCATTTAGTAGTTATCATGTATCATATGTTAAATTTAAATTATAATATAATTATAAATGAAAATTTGAATATTTTAAATTTTTTACTATAAAATTCTTCTGAAATTCAAAAGGTAACAGAAAAGGAAAAAGAAAGGTCATAATCCTAAAATATATTTTCACATTTTATATAATTTTTTTTTTCTAAATTCATGATAAATATTTTTTGGGTGAAAGATGATCCAACAGCGCCTCCATAAATTTTAAACAAAAAACAAGAAAAAGTAGGAGGAGATAACCTTTAAAAAATTTACTCCCTCCATTAAAAAATATAAAATATTTTTTAAATAATTAGATGTTAAAAAATATAATATATTTTAAATTTTTTAAGGTATAATTATTACCTTTTTTTTAATGTCCCTATTAATGAATGCCTTTATATTTATTATAAGGTATTTAATAGGATTAAATATAAAAAGATAAGATTAATTTAAAAATAATTAATTATTTTATTAAGAGATAAGTTTTGATTTAAAATATTTTATATTTTTAAATGAAAGGAATATTCATATTCCATAAATTATACCCTTGTTTTCGAATTATCAGTTTATAACTCCTAACTTTATCCCAGAAAAAATTATGACTCCTATTTTTTTTACTGCAGGAGAAAAATGCTAAAGAAAGAATGAGTGGACCCACATGACATGTGTTAGAATTTATGTTATGTTCAGATTCACGCAAATATAAATTTGGATTAAATCTCTTATTTGAATTCATAAAATTTTAAAATTTAGATTTAAATTTTATTTTACTTCTTTCATAGTTTGAAATTCTTTTCAAACTTTTATTATCTTAAATCTTTATATGCATATTTGAAATACTACCTAATATATATTAATAATCTTTGTTATTTAAATTATAAAAACAAAAAAAATTAAACACAATGACTTAAAATGCAAAATTTTAAATCTAAATACATCAATTTAAATACTACCTTAAATATATTTTAAAGTCTAAAGAGGGGACCGAGTCTAAAAGCTAAAAAGTGTCTATATGCTTCTGTGCACTCATTCTTCATTTGTCCTGAATATAAGATGTAAGGTATGATTAATTAATTCATAGAAATTAAAAATTAGTTAAATTTATTTATTTATTTATTGTTGTTGTTGTTGTGTTAACAAATGTAGGATTTCACTTATTTTAGAATACTTTTCTTTTAGCAAAAGTATTTAGTCTTAGAGATAAAAATGGTGAGAATGATGATGGACAAACCCCCATATATTTTTGGAATTAGAAAGCCATGATAAAATCGTTCAAAAGAAACAAAAATCAAGTCATGTTTATAATTATAAGGTTTTTATAATTAGTCAAGAATTATCAAGAATCCTAATGTCTAAATTATTTAAAGAATGTTGTCGGGCGAGCAAATCGACACATCTGTTAGCTTCTCTACAAACACAATCGAAGGTAATTACCTGGTCCTATCTCTAATATTCATGATGGTGTCAAAAAAATGGGTTTCTTTTAGAGAAGTTGTATTTAGTGAGTGATAAGGCTTCTATTAAATCATAATAGACATTGACTTTGTTAAGATTGACATTCCAACAGAGATTAAACCTTCAAAAATTCCACGAGCTCAGTTGCCATGCTAGGATAACAACCAAAGTATTTGGAGAATTCTTTAATTTAATTGCTCTTATCATCATTTTTGATGATACCTCCACAAGTTATAACACTATTGGTGTTAACAAAGATATAAATGTCGAGCCTGACCCACCCAGTTGTTGAATGCCACCATTTAACTTCATATTTGGCATTTTCTTAGATGATATGATTGGTTTTAGATTGAAGTTTTAGATCATTAATTATCTATTGAGTATAAGAGAAGTCAATATTATTTTTCTAAATGTAATTTTCTAAGTAAATTTTCATACATTTTCTCTTCCATATGTTCCTAAATGCAAGTGCAATAAGTTTTTACCAAGGCACAACTGTCCCATAAATTCTTTTTAGTTTTCCTAGTAAACATATGTAGCATGTATATGCCCCCATCTCATAAATATTAATTATGTATTGTAATTAATAATATTATTTTTTTATATCATAAATATTTTATTATTTTTTATATCCATAGATTTTATGGACCACGCAAAAAACATCACACAATTTATATTTATCAGTTTATAGTTTATTTGTGGTTACTTTACTTTTTTTTTTCCATCTAAACTTTCTTTTTCTCTCTCACGTTTTTTAAGTTTCTTATGATACATTTTTTATATTACAAGAGCACATCCTTATATTTATCAAGGGAAAGTAGCAATCAACAACTGCCGAAAGAAACTTATATTAATTAAAAATTAATTAATGTCAAAATTTAAATAAAAAATAAGTTTAAATGAACTGTTGTTAATTTAAAATGAATTATTAAAACTCAAATGAAAATTTATTAATAAAAAAATAATTTAAATTAATAAGCATCGATTCAAGTTTTAACAATAAGTGATCCTTGAATGATATAGATTTTTTTTAATAATCCTTAATTAATATTTTTCCATTTATCAATGTACAATGTCCTCAGCTGGAGTTTAAAATTTCTTGGTCAGTCACTGAAAAACAGTGAAATTAATGAAAATAATGTTAAAAATTCGTTTAAAAATAAAGATCCTGTGTTTAAAAACAGAACAATCACAACTTAGTAGCATGAAAGCTTTTCTATAAATGGAAAGTCACAGATTTAATTTCATTTATAACTTGAAGCTGTTAGTGCGTGACCTCTACGTGTTTGCGCGCGCGTGCGCGCTTATTTGCAGACGAGAGGGAGCGATGAGCCTCACCTAGTCAAGGCTTGCTGTCTCATGCCCGTGGCTCATTCTTCGTCACCGTATAGAATAATAAAATGTCATAATGTGAGTAGTTTGGGGTGACACCTAACATGGGTTCTTGTGTCCACCAACTAGTCATTGCTACTATAGTCTTGCTTGTTTATTTTTTCAAAAAAGATTCTTTTCTTTATCCGTCAATATAATATAACCATAAAAAGATTGGAAAAAAAGTCACGTAATTTTAAGTTATCTACAAGTTATAAATAATAAAATCACTTTTTAAATTTCATCCAACGAAAATGTTAACGACTGTGCTGTAAGCGTGTTCTCTCTAGATATTGGTTTGAGTAATTTCACAAATATGAGATACGAGATTTTATTGATGAGACGAATTATAATTATAACTAAAATAAATATTTTATAAAATGAATAAAAAACAAAAAAATGCAATATAATTTTACTTTAGATATATTCATTAAATGTTACTATGATTTATATGTCATTGGCTTCTTACAAAAAACATAGAATTATTTATTCATAACACTCCTACTTTTTAAATTATAAGACACTTTTTATCAAATTATTTCTTCCGTTAAAAAATATAAGACATTTTTAACGGAATTTCATTCCCTAATAAAATAGTTACCCACTTTTCAACTAACTCTATCTTTTCATATTTATCCATATTAAACACCTTACAATAAATATAAAATCATTATTAATAGGGGCATTTTTAAAAAAGCAACAATTACATCTTAAAAAATTAAAAATGTCATACATTTTTAAACGGAGGGAGTATATCTATCAGTGAATTAGTTAATTATCTTAAAAAAGCACATTCTTTTTATATTTACTTTTATTTACTAAAGTGTCTTAATTAAAAAATGTTATTGATTACGCAAATTCTAAAAATATCTTATAATATAAAAATTAAAGAAGAGCTAGGCAGAGAGTCGACTAGTGTTGCCTGTTACGACTAGAAGAGACATATTTGAGGTTTGAAATTTGAAAGTTGTTGTGCGTAATTTAGATTGTAGACGGTCACGTGAGCGTGATTACGGAGT